ATGTGCGTCAAATGAGAGTCAAGAGTCTGAGAGGGATGAGAGGTATTTTGCAAAGCACTGCCAGATCAAAGAAATATTCAAACATTATTAAAGAATTGAAGGGAAATTTTTATGAAAAAAATCTTTAAAAGATTAAAAACAAATAATCAAATCTCTTAATTAAAATAAAATGCAAGATTTCAAGGGTTTGGGTAGAGAATGCAAGAAAAGTAAAGTTATCATGCAATGTTTGATATATTCCATCTACTGTTATTGATGTTATGGAGGAAGATATTATAGAAGACACACTACTTGATTGAGATCGCCAAGTCATACTAGATTACAGATGTATAGTTTACTATAGTCTACTTTTTTTAGTATACGATTAACGGTACACAACGAATACCTGTACGGATATGCGGGGCATAGAAAGGGAGTATGAGTAATAGTAATAGTATTACTCAATTTAATACTATCTCATTTATTTCAACACAAATTAATTTATTAACTGTGGAGGTACACAATTAAATTTTAGATTAAAAATTTTTTGGGACGAGTACACATCAGTCTAATATAAATTAGATTTTTTTGATTTTCTTCAATATTTCTGAAAATCTTTAATTGGAATTGAATGCAAATAAAAGAAAATATTTTTTTCAAATTTCGTTCAGAACTGCAATCGCACCTCATATATAGCTCCTGCACTTTATGTAAAGTGGAGGGTTTTTCACAGATCGCTGGCGATTTTATTGGAGTAGTAGTTGTATAAATTTTAGAACGTTTTAGATGCTCATGAAGACATTTATTTTAATATTCACACAGAAGACAATCAATACTATTATATTAATTCAAAGTTTACTTTCATTAACAAACTTTATAATAAAAATAAGTTTGAAGTTTAACTAGAAATTAATAAGGTAAGCAACAAGTAGAGCAACCTATGATAGCAAGACAAATGAAAAATTCAAAAACAGGGTCTTCCTATAAGAATGGTTCAATCAGAAATATTTGCGCCGAGGATGCATCTTATACAACCGTAAGGCAAAAATACTACCATTTTTTAAGCGATCGATCGGAGTGTTAGTGTAATCATAACAATCGGAACTAATGAATATCTTTACTGATATTCACGCAGTCAACATTACTTTAAATTTCATCAGGTGACTTCGATTGAAGATGGAGTTTCTAGAAGAAGTGAACATACTTAAAAATCATCAAGTTCATTACTTAAGCGGAGAAACTTAGTAGGAATGAACCAGGTTTTTTGTCTGTAGATATAGAATTCTTCTAATTCTTTTTTGATTAGAAAAGAAGATAAGAAAAGAAGAGAGGAAGAGAAGAAAGGAAACAAAAAGAAGTACATATATTGGTATAACTTATTGTATTTATAATTCTATAAATTTCAATCTAAACATATTATAAGGATTGCTTGAATTTAACAAAAAATAATTCAAAAATTATAACACGTTGAAGGTGACCTATATTAAAAAAGAATTGTATCAAATGAATGTAGTAGATTAGGTATAAAAAAACTATAAACTGTAATCTGAGAAAATTTAGTAGAAGGAAGGAGGATTCTAAAGATTTTGTACAAACAAAACTCAATTGGCTTTCTTTAATTTCTAACTAAAATCAAATGAGGGGAAGAGAGAGTGAAAAAAAGAGCCGAAGGGAGACTGATGTAAGGAAAACTTATTCGATTTTAGATCAGCTAAAAAGAACTATAAACTCTAATCTGAGAAAATTTAGTAGAAGTAGAGCATTCTGAAGATCTTGTATAACCAAAACTAAGTTTTTCCTCTTTCATTTTATAATTCAAATAAATTGAAAGGAAGGCAGAGTAAGTGAGAAATTCAGGAGAACAGAGAGGAGGATAGATTTAATAAATAGTTGAATAGTTATATTACCTCAATCTCATCAATCCGAAAGTTATTAAAATTAAATTATATAAAATTGTAAATTTTGGAGATTTGATTTTAAGGTGATTTTGAGAATACAAAAAAATATAATGAAAATTGCTGTTCTAGAGTTAAACGATTCATGCTAAATTGCCAAATATTACTGAACAGAAATTTTAACACAGTTTAACATTGTCAGCTTTTAAACCATAATTATTAAGGGAATGAGTTCCTATAAAAAAAGAACAACAGTTGAAAGAGCAACTAGCTGATATTTACAAGAGAATATAGAAAATTTCGTCTGTTTGAAACTTAGAAACTAAAATAATGTATTATTAATAAAAAAAATAATTTTACCCTTTTAAAGTGCGTACTCATCAATATTCAACGGAATTACCAGTGTAAAAATATCGCATTACTGACAGACAGCTAAACGGCGATCAAAGCACTAAACTCGACCTCAGGTGACCTTAAGACTGGTGCTAGACTGCCTTGATAAGCTAAATCTACTTGGCGAATCAAATCAGATGTCGATTCTTTGGGTACGTGGACATATTGGCGTACGCGGAAACAAATACACAGACAAACTAGCCAGTAAAGAAGCAGCCACACCAATGATGGGGCCAGAACCTTTTTGTGGAATAGTACTCTCCTTTCTCTCATAAAAATAAAGGAGAACCAGAATAAAAAGGATTACTGGGATAATATACCAGGATTAAAACAATCCAAATCACTTATTGGTACTTATAACAATAAAAGATACCAGGATTGTATGAACTTATCAAAAGAAAAACTTAGAATCGTCACAGGAATTCGTCACAGTATACTTACGAATGCAAACTGTAGATTCTCTGAAGATGAGGAGCCGGCCACACATGTGCTGTTAGAATGCTCTGTGCTAAAGCACATATGGAATAGGCTCCTGGGAATGTTCTTACGGAAGAGGTAATAAAACTCTGTAAAGTAGGTTCAGCACAACAACAAGGCTTAGAGACCTACTCTATACTGAGAAGGGGCACAATAAACCCGATCGTCGTAGTGCTACATCCTCTAACAACATTAATAATAATTTTAAAGAAACTACAATCTTCAATAGCCGTAACTCAATAATATTTTAAAGAAAGTAGAATCCTCTATACCCGTAATTCAACAATAGTAAACAAGTCTGGTAAAGTGAATTATTTATTTATTAAAATTTTTTTATTTACTTATTATTAATAATTTATTTATTATAAGGAAAGTTCATATTTTTTTTTTTAAATTATACCATATTAAATAAATTTTAAGTTTTACTTTTAAGACTGTTCTTGATATAAAACAAAAATACAATAAGAATAAAAAATAACTTTATAAAAATCCAGAAATATTTCTTTGAAGATTTTCTAAAGTAATTATTTATTAATAGCTATTCAACTATCCTAGCAACAAATAATTTTTTAATCGATTTTGAACCTTTCCCAATGAAAGTCCGAAGTTATTGAAATCATAAAAAATGTCTAACAATGCTGATGCTACCTTTTTAATTAAAGCATTTGTTGTCCTTTATGGTTTTGAATTCCTTCTCCTTAAGGATAATTGCTTTTCTAATGGTTTTATGGTGGTAACGCAGACAACAATTGCATTCTCTGATGGCAGAGAATAGTAAAGTAGACGCACAGGACGCATAAGTACTCCAGCTCTTACTTTGTGAGGATTATTTTTATGTCTCGCAATAAGTAACTAAAAGAAAAATCCCAAAACTCCATTCAAGATAATTTCTAAGAAATATTTCTTAAGCAGCGATGTTTCTGGTAGGACGAGAACATTATGAAATATTCATCCACTACAAATGAAAACATAGCAACAGAACTTAATGAATGAATTATTGAGATAATTTCATAAACGTTACTGGTAGGTAGCCTTGAAAACAAACATTAACGTAGTATTTATGCACCCAAAAGGATAACAGAGACCTAAGACTGGGAATGAAAGCGTACACTGAGGCTGAACGCCGAGATTTATTTAAATTTGCTTAATGTATGCAACAAGGCGAATTCAATTTGTTACAGTGGGCAGCGCTGATAATTTCCACTTCCACTTTAACATCATCGTCCTCGTCCTCATCTATTGCCAGCTCTGGCTTCTGTTGTAATACATATTGCACTCGGACTTGGAAAATCAAACAGTTTTTAAAGTAAAATATGCCCCAGGGACGCGTTAATACGCACATCGATGTTTTGTGGTAAAAACAGAAACTAAAGTGTGGAGTGTGTGTTATGGTGCGGGTGCGGGTGCAGGCAAACATTAAAAATCCCCTAACAATATGCAACAGCATACGCACTCACGCTCACAACGCTTTCGTGTTTGTGTGTACAGCGTATTTCCGGTTACACAGGATGCTGCTTCGGGGGTGGAAAAGCATTAGAAATGCGATTGTGTTTCAAACAAAAAGAATCATCGCAAAAAACAAGCGGAATTTTTTAAATTAACTCACACTGGGGGGAGGGCGGTTACAATAGAAAAAAAGAAAATTAAATGCAACATTTTCCACTGCGTAACTATCGCAAGAACGAGCATCGATGAGGTGAAACCACAAAACGTTGAAGTTGACGATAATGAAAATTCAATCAGAAGCTCATCATTAGAGATGATGTAAAATATATTTAATATTATAATTTTTTGTCGAGTGCATATATACTACTGTGTATATTGAAAATAATCATTTTCCTAAAAAGTAAACCCTTGTAACAAATTTTGTTACTCTCCATAAATTTTTTAGGCACGTGTTCTTAGTCTCTATCGCATTGTTTCCGAAATTGTATGTAGGCAAGCACTTGAAATCGTTTGTCATGGATTTTTGGTTTCACAGTATGTATTCTTCAGAATTTACATCCTTTTTATCTGTCCACCCCTTTAAATCCACTCTAATATTATTATTGCATTCCGTTTTTTTTTGAAAGAAGTAGGTACTTAACTTTTGAATCTCTAAGCTTGTTTCTGAAGTCGTTTTTTGGTTTAATAAATATTCCTATCAGTTCAACCACTCATATATTTCTATAATCCTTGAACTTACATGTGTGTTTGGGTCTATGTGTGTGTGTTTGTATTGTTAACATTTATTGTAATAAACAAGAATTAACTCACCTTATCTTCAGCTTCGTCAGCGCGCTCTTCCGCTTCAATGACGCGTTGCTCCAACTCTGAAAGCTGCAATGAAAGGAAATGAAGTGAAATGAATTAGAAATGCCGAATGCGTAGGTTGCAAATTTAAGATTAAGTATTTAAAAAATATTTATTACAATTTATTTATTTTTTATTTAAATCATTTTTTCTTTTCAATTATTAATCAATTTTCAAGAATTTTAAAGAATAATTAGAGAACTTAAAGAATGAAACAATGAATATATTGGTTCAAAGAGAGAGAATGTATCTAAAGTTTAATTTATTATTATTTCATTTATTAAACTATAGATACATTTAATTTAATATTTATTACCATACTTATAATAATTGTGTTATATATTGAGGTAATTATATTAATTGGTAATTAATATTGAGGTATATTTCAATGTTCCCCTGGAAACGCAATGGAATGAAGATGATATGGAGATAATTAGTCAATTATGTAAAATATGTTTCCTAAAGTCGAAATAGTTAATAAATAAAAAGTACTCCAAATTAGTTATTTTTGTTTAATCTTTATTTTTAAAAAAAAGTTTAACGTAATTGATTAATTACCCTAATAAAACAAATGGTTTCTTTAATTTAAATTACTATTTTTTTAACATTAAGTCACTTAACTAATAGTAAAATTTAACTAAATCAAATTATTTGAGGCAGAATAATTATATGCATATATATATAATATCAGATAAACTAAAATATTCGATATATTTATGAATATTCATAATTCAAAATTAACAGATATGATTAAACATATGAAAATTCACTAAATATAAAAGTTAAAACAAAAAAATCGTCTTTTCGATCTGACATGATGATTTGTAAGATATTTGTAAGATCAAATATATTACAATTATAATATTTTATTAAAACATTTTAAAGGTCATGATGATATAATAATAATATATTAATGTATAAATATAAAATATAATATAATAAATATATATATATATAATAAATAAATATAATGTATTAATATAATAATTACCTATGGCAAGACATAATCCGTTTTGAATAGAAGAGGATGTAATATAGTGAGGAAATTTTAATACCCACAAAAAATTTTAATCTAGTTTATCTTCGTGCTAACCGTATAGCTGTTTCGGATATTGTGAAATATGTGTCAAAAGTGATCTATGGGAACATAATATATTAGCTTATATAGGGTTATCCATTTGTGTATCCAAAAGTAAAGGAAAATAAAACACATATGTGATAAAGCTTTCGGTTAAATTTTTAACCGAATAGTAAAGTTAAATGTTTGGACATTGCCATAAATCAAGAAATAAAATATCATATGTCACTTTTAGAGTATCTTTCGTCACTAGACACTCTTGATGTAATTTTCATTGCTTCGTCAGTAAAAAATCGATATTAACACGATAGATGTCTGTTTGCAAAGCATCAAGATTTTGATGTCGAAAGTTGTTTGTCCAAATATTATCCTAAGCATAACCCCACTATTGAAAACTGATTGTGTTTAACATATTTTCATACAAATAGTCGGCAAATTTAGTAGATAAATTAATAATTTAACAACATTACCATTACACTAATACTTAGGGAAATAAATATTTTTTTGTTAGAATTATTTTGAGAAATGACGAAAATCAACAGCCAAACTTCAATAAATTTTAGTTAAATTTTAATATCAAATTTGTAATTTGCATTGAAAATTGCATTGATCATCTAATGTTTGAAAACCTCTTGAAAACCAAAATGTTAAATGAAGTAAACTTCAATGGGTTAAAGTGAAATAAGTTGCTCTTCTGGGGTTTTAAAGACCAAAATGAAATAATTTTTATTATATTTGTGAGTTTCAGTTACGCTCCATCATAGTTTTCGGTTTTAAAAATTATTTTTTAAGATCTCAAGTCATACCACCTCAAGTCATACCAGACTTTAAGTTTGTAGTGAAAACAAATTATATACGGACTATAAACTAATTAAGAAATTCGAATATTTTGTAAGACCCCTGTTGATAAGTACGTGGCAATACTCGAAACAGCGTGTATGGTAAACCAAATTGCAATAAATTAATTATATTAAAATGAATATAAATTTTGATAAACTTTTATCCCAAGAATGTCTAAGAATTAGAAATCTAAAATATAAAAATACTACATGTATAATAATAATTTTCATGTAGTCGAGATTAGGGCATTTATTTGTTAATTTATTTATATTAATTATACAGGGAACGGATAAATTAAGAAAAGTTCATTGAAAATTCCCTAAAAAGGTTATGTTCTATGATAACACCAAAAAATCCCTCTTTGGCAAAGAACGTATTATCATGAAGCCCAAAGACCGTATAATTAAAAACGCTTTGAAACTAAAAAGTACTTTAAAAGTGGAGGCTTAAAATTAAAATTTTGCCATTGACAAATTTAGATAAAAGTTCTGTTTTTTGATCAATATATATATGAATATTTATTAAATTGAAGTGAATGTAATGAAGAGTTCGTATGTGGCAAATGTGTAACTGTGGCCATGTACCATACAGGACATTTGTTTTTATAGTTATACAAAGTATGAACTTTTTTGAGCATTTTACAAACACAATTTTAACGCTATTAACAGTGAACAAAAGAGTGAGTTTTCTTTATGTTTATTAAATTCGAAGGAATTAATTTTTGTTAGTTTCACTGCAATTATACGGTCTTAGGTTTTTCTAATTCTACGGTATCAGTTTTATTTTGATACGGTCTTCGTCAAATCACAATTTCCTTCAAAGTCCTTTTCCTCTGCTAGTGTTTTATAGATGGCGTGTTTAGAATCGTGAAGGAAGTTTATCCAAAAAAATTTTTATGTAAAAGAGAAGGATTTTCAAATTTCCCAATTTTTTTATAATTTCTAATAATGAAAAATATTTTTTAAAAATTTGTCTCAAAAAAGGTATTTAATTATGTGGTGATATTTGTTTATTTTCCTATTAAGAATTAAATTTATTTATTAATAATTTTTAAATTTACTTAAATTTTTGTAGCAATTCTTATTACTTTTATCGTTTTAGGAAGTCAGGTACCAAAATAGAAGGCTAAAGTATTTTTAATTCGCTGTTTTCGAATATAACAAAAATGAAAGAATTTATTGTAGGTCTTGGGACATATAAAAAAATAAAATTTACAGTTTGGTCAGTTACGAGATTTTACTAGCGTTATTCTACTAATTTATCAAAACAGTAAAAGTAGAATAGAATAGAAATATACGGGGTACTAGCTTCCAACGGAGCTGAGCACTGCGACCAGATTGATCTTTTGTGCTTCAACTGACCCTAACCAAACTGAAGACATTTCACCTTTCGAATGAAAGCCAGAATTTCGTCCGTTGAGGACCTCCTAATGACAGAAGCAGAGAGCAGCTCTCCTCGCAGTGACCTCCTCCTTGCCCAGATCAAGGCTGGACAGTCACAGAAAATGGTAGTCTCGTCTGCTTCTAAGCAGAGTCGAATCAGTAAAAGTAAAATAGATCTAATATATTTTAACATTATTTTTACACGAGCAGTAAAAATAGCTCCACAACTTAGATTGATAAGTAAACTGTCGAGTTTTCGTCAATTATTATGTAGATGGCGAAGCACGAAAGGAGGGCTTCTGGGTAATATTTCACGAAGATCTACGAGGAAAGAGAACAAGTAAGATGCACAACTCAACAAATACAGTATTGATTATTTTATGTCTCATAATTAATTATTGAGTCACTTAACTAATTATTTATTTAGTTGTTTATGACAATGGTATAAGAAAATATTATAGTTAAAGGACAAAAAACTATTGGCTGCAGAGGCCTTTGACTATTGGAATATGTAAATTGAAAGTAAAGAAAAATTAATTTACATTTTCAACTAAGAAAATTTGTATTGGTATGACGAAATATACGACAGTTAGATAAAGAAAAATAGAAGTTATACTGGAGATATTAAGAAGAAGTATGCTTGATTATATTAAGGGTCAAAACTTTATATAAATTCCGCCAAAAATTTATAAATTTATTCATTGTTTGAACAATTGATCCTAAAATGAGATTATCTTAGATTGAAAAAATCACGGAAATGAAAGATATGAAAAGGTTATTTGGGACCAGCCACCACAGGACATACAGTGTTCCTGAGGTTCACTTGCAGCTAAGTGCTTAGGAGGCACAAAGGTGTGTTGAAGTCCTTGTTAACAGAGGCATTATATGTTTTGATGAAGTCTATTTCAAATATAAAAAAAAAATATATACATTTTTCTAAACAACTTTCAGGTTAAATTAAAACTAAGAGGTAGAGGTTAAAGAGGTAGAAGTTTCGTTGAGAAAATTGTGTTGGATAAACAAGTGATTATGTTACGAGTATAAGACAAATAGATTAAATAAGATTAGGAGAAAACTAAAAATTCTTCATTTCTAAAATTTCGAAAGTCTATAGCGGATTTCTCTTATCTCAAAAAATATTTATTTAAACTTATAGTAAATTTGAAACATTTAATGTAGCAAAGTGATTGATTTGCAGTTTGTCCTTACTGATGTCACAGACAAGAACTAAAAAATAACAATGATAATATAATTTTTCATAATTACCATAAAGTGGCTATCCTTTTCACAAACCAATTAAATCCTTGTCTGCGCTAGTTAACCTATTTTGCTCCTCAAACAAAAATAACTAAATTGTGTCTATTTCGAGCATTTAAATCCACTTAAGACTGCGACACCCCTTCTAGCCACCGACAGTCACAGTTACAGTCACGGGAAGAGACATGAACACAAACGAAAACAAATCCAAATGCAAATATAAACAAACACACCCATTTAGTCGATTTAATCTATTTGTATGTACATTGAAGCGCTTCCTCAGTCCTCAGTCCTCAGTAGTCAGTCCACAGCCCACAGCTCATAGACCACCACCCACAAATTCTCAGGCTAGCGCTTTTGTGTGCCAATAAAACGCGCCTTCAAGCATCGTGGCACTTATGTGATTAATTGACGGAATTTGATGGCTGAGCTTTAAGCAATTTTGCGAAGAGGCATTTCCGTTATTGCCA